TGCCTTAAAATGATTTCTCCATCTATCTATTTGTGCCGTAATATGAAGACCCTGGTGTCCACCGCCAAGGCATAGAGTTGCCAGCATTAGCAAATAAAAATAAAGACGGCATGGGTAATTTTTTTTAGTGTAAGCATGTCCCAATCATTGCATGGAATATATTTATACATAAATAAATAAATACATAAATAAATAAATAATAAAATTGTTGTCTATCTAAAATTCAAATTTAACTGGGCATCCAGTATTTTATCTGGCAACCCTATCCAGACACACTTTTTTAAGGTCTCCAAAACTATTGGCAGAGTAATCACCCAAAATAGGAGAGTTGAGAATTTTCTTAAAAGAAGCTACTATATACACTTGGATAGGAAACAAAGGAAATAACTCCAAATATAGATCTGGTTCACAGTTATAGAATTGTTTATTTTGGTGCACAAACTTTATGATTGAATTATTGTGAGCTCTCTTTGGACAGAATAAAGATGCTTGAATGCCAGATGGTTATTTTCTGAGTCACCAAAACTTTCCATTCCCCCCACAGTGGCTGCAGGCATATTCTTGGAATTTTCACTAAATGGCAGAGCTAGAACAGATCCAAGGGAATGGACAGTAGTGAAAGGAAATGCACTCAAGGAGCAAAGCCATTTTCCAAAAGAACTTCCAACCTCTCCCCACCTCCCACCACCACCCATCTCTGCCCCCAAGCTTTCAGGCTTAGGGTGTTCTCAGAGGAAGTTTTACGCTGAGGAGTAGACAAACATGCCAAACTCCTAGGACAGAAGAAACTACAAAATTCTCCCAGTTGAAATCAATCCACAGTGGGGGTGGTGGGGGTGGGGGCATGGGAGGGCAAGGGGGGACCTAGTGCTCTCTACTGGCTGTATGTGGAGAACTGTGAATGTCATTTATTGGGGTACACGTAATGAGGCAATTTGGGGGGAATCACTTTCATAGCAGAGCAGCGTAACTGCTGACATAAGCATGTTCATGATAGTTACTTGCTGTTTAACGTTACTGGCAGGCTTATACAAGACCTAGTTTCAACGAAGCCTTCTGTGCTTTTCTGGTTGCCTCCTATCCCAGATGTGAGGCTCAAATTCCCTCTGAAAATAAATCGGGTTGCTCTCCTTGCTGTATCCCTAGATCCTAACCCTGTGCCTGGTACACAGTAGGCGTTCAAAACTATTTATTAATGAATAAAGAAAGGAAACTCCAGTCACTTATTTGAAGAATATTTTCATTGAGTTTTCATTTTAAGAACTGATAATGTTAAGATATAGGCCAACAGCTGGGGAATATAGCATTGCAAATTTTTTTTAATTTTATATTTTTCTTAGTATTAACTGCACAGCCGAGTTTTATTTTTAAACTAAATAAATTAAAATTCAATAAAAGATAGCATGAAATAACTTAAGTATGTTTTGGTTTTTAAGTGTTTGCCTCATGCTATGTGATCTTAAAGACTCAAATCCAAAGAGCAAAATGGAAAAACCCATGTTTTTAAAATAAAATTTATTTTTGCTATGTGTGTTTTAACAAATGAGTGTTTAAGTATTTGAGCTTATGCTTGTGACAGGAATAAATTGTGATGCCTACTTGACATGACGGGTCCTAAGGCTTACTTTATAACAGAATCTCTGAGATTGTAAGACTATGAAGCTAGATCTAAGGTGATTATTCTGGAAGTAGCACAAAGATAAGAACATTTACTCAGACGAACCAGTTCTCTCACTTTTTTTTTTTTTTCATTAGGAAACACTCTTAAATGGAGATTCTTGACAAGCTATTGTATGCCTGGGTTAGCTGTATGTCTGCTCTTAAATACATACGTTCAAGAACTAAAGAAGCTATGATCATAAGCCTGAATTGGCATTGAAAATGTTTCTCTCCAACAGTTTAGCACATTAAATATAAATCATTTAACAATTACTCCTTTTCTAAAATTGATTTGATACTTTACTCTCAACAAATAAAAAACAGACTGACAGTCATACATTTCATTTTGTCTGTTTGTTTTTCAGTAACTCCTGTCCTTATACTATGCAAGTGTACAGTAGGTAGGCTTCCTCTGAGGGTCATGTGACTACCCTTAGCATGTAACTTAATGCTAACACGTCTAGCTGAAAACTGAAACCTATGAGTTGTGTATTGTGCATGATATCTGACCATTGCAAAGCATCTGATAATTTACTAAAACTTTTCACTTTTCATAGAAATGGCTGTTATGCAGACATCACCATGGATCACAACAGAAAGAGATGCACATCACACATGGTCTGCCCTGACCAGAGTTGCAGCCAAATAAAAATCCCAGCCTGGTGAGTTGATTCCATAGGAAACTTGTTATGCAAAAAAGCTTCAGTCACATACCATTGCCTCCTCTTGTCCTTTCCCTGGCAAAACATTAAGGCTGAAGATATCAACGACAATTACAATTTAAACCTCTTCTCTGCTTAGTAACCAATCCTCTCCATCCCTGTCTACCCAGAAACAAACTGCCCGCTTATTCCTATTTTCATGTCCTCTCCTCTCAAATTAACCCTGGTTGCCTTCCCATTTCTGGATAATGTTATTGATCTTGAGCTATGATGCCTAGATGATATAGAACTTGGCATATAGGAGATTCTAGTGAATCCACATTTTGAAATGTGGCATGAAATTTCTGTTTTGAACATTTGTTGAGGGTAAAGAACTTTATAATGCAGCACAAAATAGCCCCTGAAGGTTCTGATATTCTACCCACAGCATTGCTTCTGTAGACTTGGGATGTTAAGAACTGGGTTCAGAAGCAGTATTCCAGGTTTTTCCTTAAAAAATCTTATCTATATGTCTCTCCCTTCAATGGCTATAATGCTTTCTACTGCTCTTAGAATGTATGATCGTCCCAACCCTTTACCATGGCCTTCAAGGCAGTACAACTCCAGCCTCACCGGACAGCATTCCTCCAGCCCCCGATCGCTTGGTCACTATGCTGTGGACAAATGAAGCACAAGAAGTCCCGGGCTCTGTGCTTCTTATTCCCACGTTCTGAAATGCGTTTCCCTAGCTCTGTGCACAACCCTGGCTCCTTATCTTCCTTCAAGTGTCAGTTTAAACACCACCTCCTCAGACAGGCTTTCCCTGACTGCTGTCTCTGAAGTAGCTCTCCTAAGTATCCCCCAGCCTCCTGCAGTTCTCTTTATCACATCATCCTGTTTATCTTCTTTGTAGCACTTGTCACAATCAATAATTATCACCAGACTAGAAGCTCTGTGATATCACCACTCTATCTCTAGCATCTCGTATAGCGCCTGGCACATGGATGATGCTTGATATTTGCAAATTAATGATGGAGTACATGAATGAATAATTAGGCTAATAATATGTATTTCCCTCCTTTTTTCTTTTTTTTTTAATATATATCATATCTAACACCATACAACATATTAGCTAGGGAGAATTTAACACAACAACATATTTTTGAGAAATTTTAATAATAAAAAAGAATATGAAGAAGCAGATGTTTCCCATCATCGCTAGGCATGTGCTAAATAAGTCTGTCTTTTAGAAATATCAATGGTGTAACTAACTTTTGGACAGATTCCCTGGACTTCTTTTCCTCCTTTCCTTCTTCTCTCTTTCCCTCTCCTCCTCCCTTCTTCTCTTTCTCTCTTGTTTTGTAAATTACATATGACATTGGTAATTAACATCTCAGCCCCCAGTTCTTCCACCTTTATTAAAGCCTTTCCCCCAACTCTCACTCAACTTTGTGAGCTGATATGCAGCATAAGTTAGGAAAGAGTTTATCTACAATCACATGGTCCCCTAAAAGACAATCTTTCAGGAAAAAAATGCAAACAAACCTAGAGTATAAAGCATCACATTTATATTTGGAAGCAACATGTTAGAGATAAAAGACAATGAGTCAGGAGCCTGCGATTCTAATCATTTTGCCACTATCGATATGATAGGAAATTAATTCACTACTCTGTGCCCCAATTGTTTGCATCTATACAATTGAAATAATGTCTCCTATCTTGTCTTACTTCACAGGAAGGAAAAGACCCATTGAGATGATTATGTGAAAGCACTCTGCAAAACAGTATGTAAAAATAAAAGGTATTATTATAGTAAAAGAGAAACACTATTTTCTAGTTTGCCAAAAAAGGAAGGATAAACAACAGGCATATCTGGGGAGTAATGGGAGCATGGGTATAGTGACAATATTTTCAAAACCCAAATCAGGCCATATCTTTTGGCATATGATCTGACACATGGTCTGACCACATGACAGAATATTTGAAATCAAAATGTCCTGAAAAATCCAGGACATGTGGTTGCCATGGCAATGAGGAACCGTAGGGAGGCTGTGGGCAATGAGAAGACAGGGTCGAGTTGGCAAGCATGGAAAACTATATTGCCAGTGATGTGCAGGACAGTTTGGAATCAATCAATGTGGAAGACTGAAAAGGCCAAAGAAAGAAATTTTATGAACCTGAGTGTGAGGTTGTAGGTAGTGATCCTGTGTCATCCTCATTCTGAGAAAATTTCCCCACTCACTCTGGGAAATCCCAGGCAGTCTCTGGTTCACATCAACGGGGAGCAGGAAGAGGAGTTTTGGAAACGAATTTTGTTGGAGTGGACATAGCCCCCATGGTGGTCCTATATTTTCTCTCAACATCCCAAGAACACCCCTAAACTAAGGATTGTTTCATGGTAGCCCAGTTCTCCAGACCAAGGGAGACTCCCTGGAAGCACAGGGAGGAGACCCAAGTCTTTCTTCATCTAGATGAAAAGGTCATGGAACTCGTAAACTCTTGGAACTTTGTTCTTCATGGACTGTATTCTGCTTCCACCTTTCTCCTCACAAATGAAAACAATCCTCTCTTCTGTGCAATTGCTCAAGAAATATTGTTTGTGATTTACAGCTCCATGGAAGTTCCTGACAACACAACCCCGGTATCATAGGAGTTCTACTGATGACTTTTAGGACAGAAAGTCAGGTTTAGGTTTTTTTTTTCCTATGGCCAGTCAAAAGTAAGGTGCAGATAAATCTCTTGAAGTTTTCATGATTGGACTCAGAAGAGGAAGGCTTATAAGAAGTTCAATCTCGTTTAGCATTTTGCACAGGTTCTTATTAAAATGAATAAACCTCCTATTTCTAAGGAGCAAGCATTGTTTCATGAAGCAGCTTTCCTATCTACCTCTTACTCCTTTCCAGACCTTGAGGACTCCAGGACCTCTAAATGCCATCCAGGGCCTATCACACGCTATTGAGTTGGCATGTTTGCAAATTGCATGTGGTGAGATCTTTCCATACCAACAGCCCTGTCTCAGGTTCCCCAGCATCGCAGCCAAACTAGTATTGCCTGCACATTTTCTTCATCTTTTCATGGAGTTCAGTGTGGCAGCAGCACATTCCTCAGCACAGGCTGCAGTCGGCATGGTAACTAGTTAAGGGCTGCAAGCTGCCTCCTTGCAGACTCCGATTTCTCTTTGAGAGTGCTGTTTTGGCGGGGGAGGAGTGAGGGGCGCTCCGAGCGGAGGGTGGTGGAGGAAGTAGTGAAAAGGGGGTGGAGAAAGAATTGATTGGGTTGGGCTGGGGGAGGGGGGATGGGCAGAAGAATGACTGAAACGAGCTTTTTAAAAAGAGTTATCTGGTCCACCCATGGTGTTGGTGCTAAATTGCCTGGGCAGGAAAAAAGTCCTAATTGGGGTGGGGAGGCAGTGACAAAGCAAAGCTTATTCAGGCTTCGGAATCCGCACTGTTGATAGCGCAGGTACCTCAGGGCGGGTGGGGAGTGATTACTGTGTTGACTTTGTCTAATTGCAGGGGAGGAGTTATGTGAGCTGTGACGGGCAGCGTTACACCCAGTGGGGTGGTGGACAAAACTGGCATCACCACGCGGAGCTCAATAAACGGACTGACAAAGCTCTTGGCAGATTATTAAAAATCTGGCAAAATGCTCATCTCTTGACAAAAATATAGAGAGACTAGTAAGGCATAACTTTATTCCATGTTGGATTTTAAAATGGCTAATGCCAAGTTGTCTGTCAAAATTAATAGGGCATTGCTGCTTCTTACAGAACACACACACAAAATATTCTCATACATTTTATTCATTTATTCATTGCTAAAAAATCATGTATCTGCTAAAATTTTCATTTAGGAAAAAGGGTTGGAGGTGATTAACCTTGATTTTAAAGTGCTGTGAATTAAAAGCTACTTTTTTTTTTCCTCCTCAGGTTTGTTATAATAAAAAAATCACACCTTCGTTAAAATGTAAAGTATCTTATTTTTTGAGATGAAATTAAAACTCTGCATCCAAGCTTATGTTAAGAGAGGCAGTAAAGCTCCCAATTATTGATTATATCTTTATATGAGTTGGGTTTTGGGACTTTTAAACTTCTGTATACCAAGAAAAATGTCAAATGGTTAATTGTTGAGTAGATACTTTGCATTGTCAACGGAATTAATCAATATATTGACTGACTCTCCTACTTTGCTATTTTATGTGTTAATTTAACTGCTTCTCCATGAAGCCTTCATGCATGCTGTTCTACAAACTACTTTTTATTCAGTTTTATACACATAGTGCAACTTTCTGTTCTAGAACCTGAGTTCATTTTGTGACTAGACCTCAAAAAGTAAGTGTAAATAATATTCTACCTTGTCATATGTATAGTGCCCGTGGGTAGCTGTTTCCTTTCCTATTTTCTACATTCTAAAGCTTTGCAAGAAAATGGAAATGAAAAAAAGACTCCCTGAAAAGTTTAAAAACTTTTTATAATGTACTTTAATTCCTAATTTGCTTTATGGAACAATAAACTGTGCTGTTTATAAGTTCAGAATTTTTCTTAACTTAAAAAAAAATTCCAAAATGGCATTGTCCTCAAAATCTCATGTTTTTGCTAATTCTGATTTTTAAGGCCTGCAAATAAAATAGGAGGTCAGTGAGGCTGGCGAAGAGACTTTGCTTTTAATCCCTAATAAATAATTTGGTTTGGTGATTTTTCTCTTCTTTTGATTCTTAAAACATCTCTCTACAATCCAGCCTATCAGCTCTGCTTGAAAACGAAGAGTCTTAAAGCATAAACCCTGGTATGCTTCCAGGTAAAAGGGAAACGTACAAATGTTCCTTAACTGCTGAAGGAACACACATGTAAATAAGAGATGGCCTGATTCCCTACTGTTCATGTTTGCTCACTGCGAACATTTGGTTCACTTGGCTTGGCTCATTATTTCAGCTGGGAAAGTCACTATATGAATTAATAGCAGATTTCCCCAGCTGAAAATAAATGTTTACCAGTTTAGGGGGCTGGGGTTTTTTGGCAAAGACCTGGCTTTTTGTCTGACTGGCTGCTTTTTTTTGGCCTGCACATCCCTGAGGTGTGTAATTAAAGTAAGGGAATTTGCACATAGTGCTTTAGGGCTTTAATGAATAGAAAACACAGGATATTTCAGCAATTTGGTGCCTAATGTCAGAGTGTGCATTTCCTGTGTGAGGTGTCACAATAATAGGACTCTGTGATAATAAAGGCGCCTGAAATCCCATGCAAAGAAAAAGAAAAGTGACAGCATTTGTTCCGAAATTCCAATACAAAATACAAAAAAAGAGCAATTTACATTTTAAAACAGATGGACTTTGAACTTGAACATATCCTCGGAATTAATGGCTATTAAATCAGCCCCACTTGCTGAATATTGAAATTCCCTTCAGGACAAAGATCTTGGCTGTTGATATCAGGCTACATTACAAAACTGAACACACAATATCAAATGGTTTTAATCATAACCATTCTCTCCTTGCTGTTGAGATTTTTGAACAGCTCAAAATTTGGAAAAGTATTTTTAAACCTCAGGAAGCTTGAAGGGAAGGGTAGAAAGAACAAATTAACATTTATTGAGCACCTGGTATATGCCAGATACTTTTAGATGATGTAAAAATTTAATATTTAAAAAAAAAGCATGCAAAAAAGGCATTAGTATTGGTTTATTTCTGGGGGGGGTGAAATAACATTCAAAGAAATGAGGTAACTTGCCCAAGATCCCATAAGCAGTGATACTGGGATGTGAGAAGGCACGCCGCCCAGCATAGAGTAAGCACTCAGTACATACAATTATCATTACTGTTGGACTCCAAAACCCAAGCTCTTTCTAATAGTTTGCTGTTACTATTTTTATATCTCTTACATAAAATTTATTCTAAAGAGGGGTAAAAACCTTGTTCCCCCTCATCCCCGATCCCTGATTGTTTTTGTGATAAGGTTTATATCCAATTTGCTAAAAATCCCCAGAACTCCTTGTTCCATCCTTTGCATAACAGTATAGGATGTAGTGAGTTTGTGCTCCCTGGGTCAGGGGGAGGGCATCTCAACCTGAGGACAAGCCATACTTTTAATACAGGACAAGAGCAGCCATGACAGAGGACAAATCTCCAACAGAAGCATGGACGAAGGGCATGGGTTCATCTCAGCCACAGGCCAGAATATGGTACCCACGTCACCACAGAATATGGGAACACATATTTCACTTCGCTAGGTTTCAGTTCTAACACCTGGAAAAAAAAAAGAAAGAAAAGGTCTGGATGATCGACAAAGCCCATTTCTTATTTAAAAGTCCTTTGGCTGAGACCAGAGGGCAGAGGGCAGGCAGCTGCTGAGATAATCCATAAAGAGGAGAATTCCCAAAAGATCAGCTTCAGGTAACTACCTCTTTTGGTCACTACACAAAGACATCTGTCATATTTTTATAGCCATATTCCCTCATGAAATGATTATTGGGTTTCTACTACATATTCCATATAACATTACTTCAGATCATCCATAAACTAAATTCTAAGGTAAAACATTATCTATAAAAGGCTTTTCCTCCTGCCTTTTCCTTTCTTAACTTTTCACCTTATCTTAGGCTCTCTATGGACTTCCTCTTAGTCCCGAAAACCTTGGAAGAATCACTGACAGACCACACACCTGGTATTGGGCACTATCCTAATTCCTGGTAAAAAAGAAAAATGCACATGTGAGATGTGTGTGTGCGTGCGTGTGTGTGTGTGTGTGTGTGTGTGTGTGTGCTTAAGAGAGAGAAAGAGAGAGAGACTTGGAGTCTAAACACCTCCTCCTACAATTCTAGGAACATAAAACCCAGGAGACTAGAAACTCTGAGACCTGCTACCCTATCCCAGTCATTTTCCTCCTTGATGAGAAACCAACACTCTCCCTCTCCTCTCTCTCGTCTACAAGCACTGATGCTGTCACTTCCCCAGTAATAACTTCCAACAGAGGAGGCCTAGCCTCAGAAAAAGAAACCTAAAAATATCATTATTATCTCTGTCACTACTGAAAAAAATGTGAACATCAAGAGTTTGAGAGATTTATTAGTATAAAGGCCAGAAATGCCATTTGGGTCACATATATTTTTACTCTACTAGGACTCAGACTCTATTGATCCTCCCACCTTGTCACTGTCCTTGTCCCTCTTGTGTCCTCCCTTTCCTCCTCCTTATCCTACTTAAATTCCATGATCCATCATTATTATTCTTCTCTTGCAAGCATCCTCATTCTTTTTGCTCGTCTCTCACTACATTGTACTGGTAAATTCTCACGCCTGATTAAATCCAACTTTCTGTCTCTTCAATGCCAGCATCCCTGCAACTCAATGTGATGGAGAAAAACACATAACCATGCTGGCTGATCTCATTCTAAATTCCTCATCATTATAACCTCCTGTGGACCAATAATGCTGCCTAAATATCCTATGGTGCCCTTGTCCATTCCTGAACAACTCTTTCAGCCCTTCTCTTTCCTCAATCCCCCACAACCTGCTCACTCATCATCATTCACTTCTTTGCTATTTCACCAAGAAAATAGAAACATCCAGAAAGATCTTCTCCATGTCTCACTACCACATCTCCCCACCTACCAGCATCAGAGCCCATACACCCTGTTTTCCCTCCTGGGACTCTGGATGGATGACTGGGGCTCTCAGCCAAGGCCAGCCCCCACTTGTGTACTAGAGCCCATCCCCTCCCAATGCCACAAGGACATTTCTCTAGCAATTCTCCCCCTCTCTCCTGCATCATCAGTTTCCCTCCATTTTCCTGGACCATTGCCATAACATACAAACATGCACTTGCTCTTTCATTAAAAATAAAAACAAACATCTTTTGACACCACATCCCCCTCCAACTATTGCTCCATTTTCTTGGCACCTCTTGACAACAAAACTTCTCAAAGAAATTGTTTATATTCCCTGGTAATTTCTCTCCTCCCATTCTCACTTGAACCCAATCCAATCACCACCCCACTTTGCAGACATCAAAACTGCTCCAGTTATAATCACCGAGGACCTCCACACTGGCAAATCCATCAGCCAATTCTCAGTCTTTGTCTTGCTTGTAAAAATTTTATGTAGTTGATCACTTTCTCCCCTTTGAAACACTTAACTTGCCTTCCACAAAACCATGCTCTACTGAGGGTCTCCCCACTTCTTTGCTTTCTTCTTTGTCTCCTTTCTTTTTTTTTTGAAGATTTTATTGGGGAATTGGGGAGAACAGCTCTGGGGAATCGGGGGAAGGGGAACAGACAAGTTGCTGTCCTTTTGTTCTTCAGTCTAGTTGTGGAGGACGTCGCTTCACTGGCCCATGTTGGTATCATTGCACTCTTCCCGGCTGAGGCAGATTGGTCACCGGCCTCTGGAGAGCCACTCACGGCGGCTCTTGGCAGCTCACACCAGCTGCCAGCCACTCACGCTGGCTGCCGGCCACACACAGTAGCTCACGGCAGCCCACTGCAGCAGAGGCTGCAGCCTACACCGTTGCCAGCGACTCAGAGCAGCCCAGCTCCAGGTCAAGCTGTTGTTCACCATCTTAGCTGTAGAGGGCAGTGTCACTGGCCCTCATGTGGGATCCGAACCGGGGTCCTGCTGCTCAGAGCTGGTGTCCCAAGCCAGCTCTTAATCAATGCGCCACTCAGCCGATCCCTCTTTGTCTCCTTTTTTGATGCCTCTTTACTTCCCTGCATCTAAGAGTTGGAGTGCCCCAGGGCTTAGGGTTCTGACCTTGTCTTTTCTCTAACCATGTTCAATTCATTGAGGATCTCATCAGTTACACAGCTTTAAATACCATCTCTACACTCTGTCCAGGTTTATATCTCCAGACTGAATGGCTCTTATGCTGGCCCCCTGTTGTGAAACCAAGGTTCAGTTTCCATCTTGCTCCCCAGTTATGTTAAGTGGGGTTCTCTCTTATTTCTCTGTCTAATACCACAGTTCCTT